GTCAATCACTATCTCATCGCTTGAAATCCATTTTTCAACCTCATGGCTTGGCAAACTTAGGAACTCGTTAGAAGCAGTGACGGAGTTAAAGTTTGAATTGATGAATTTCCGGGTGCTCGCGACCAGCTCTTCACATGAATAGTGTTCTGCCAAGTAGTTCATCGAAATGCAGGTCTCAGTGGCGATGTGTTGCTCGAGAAATTTGCCAGCCATAGTTTTAAGATTTGAAAGGAGAAGAAAATCTGCCGTTTCGATCAGCTTCTCGGCATTTTCTGGGGTAATCTGAACGCTGCCATGGTAAATAAACTGCACAATGTCCGCCATCTGAGACTCGGTTATCGTCTGAAGCCGAATAACTCCTTCATTACTCTCTTTCATGTCGCTGCTGAGAAGCTTTTCAAAGGATGGACTCGCCAGTGAAAGTACGTTTCTGTGAGCCCGGAACTGCTTTCCATCTTTCACCACCAAAGTTATATCGCAAGAGATTTCTTGATCTCGATCAAATCGATTCATGCTTCGCTTTCAAAGCGAAATCAAGGGTGAACGCAATCTTGAGCCTAGAGTTTATCCAGCTGCGTGGTCAGCGTTGAGCGTGACCAAGCAGTCGTCATGGAACGACGTTACATAATTAACGTTCTGAGGAATGACGACACACTCAAAACTGTGATGCAGTATGGCAGAATGGGTGGCCCCAGTGAAGACAAACGAAGAGTCCATGGGCTAATAGCGAAATACTGGAGTAAACGCGGCAACATCTCCCTCCGCACTCTCGGGTTACTCCCGAGAGAACGACCAGTCATTGTACTTTTAAGGTTAAATGTACTGAGATGTTTACTTGATTTTCATTAAGCGGTTACTAAAACACGCGCGCGCGCGAATCACTGCCTCCTCAATGTGGTGGCCCAGAATTTCCCCAGATCCTCGAGGGCGGGGGGTGAGTACCCCAGAAAAATTCAGTGGGGGTGTGCGGCCCGTTTTCCAAAAGCCTTTCCTTATTTATGACCAGACCAAAATTTCGATACCCTATTTATGGATGTTGCGGCTGACACAGTTGCCCTTAACATAATGTTTGAAGGGCTTTTGTCCATAGTCCTATCAATAATGATGAAAAAATCGCTTCTTCTAAAACAACATACCCAATTCAAGACTAGAGTAGAAAAACCATACCCTATTGCCGCCCCACCCCCAAGCAAGGGAAAAGACCCTGGGAACGAGGTTGACCAAAATGGCCAAATCGATACCCTATTTTATACGACCAAAACGACTGAAAAAACACACTCTTTAGGGCCACAGCTACCTACATAGCCCATAAAAGAGAGCACCCTTCCCTGTGTGAGAAATAGCGCAGAGAACGCATTGAGCCAATAAAAGGTACTTGATTTACAGAAAGACCGTGGACCAGAGTCCGCGTAGCCTTTTTTCAGCACAAGGATAAAAATTACCTCCGGGCTGTGGATTACTTTTCAAGAGATGTAGAGATCTGTCAATTGTGTCCAAGAATGTAACTTTACCCAGACTACCCTGCAACTAAAAACAATCCTCAGTAGACACGGGCTTCCAGACATCTTATTTACAACAACGGCTCCCAGTTCGATTCATGCAAGTTTATCACCTTCTCTACTGACTGGCAGTTTCAACACACACTATATCTGAGATATCCACAGTCCAACGGAGAAATGGAAAGGGCAGTCCAAACTATGAAGAAGTTATTAAATAAGAGTGCCATAGGGACTAATACTTGGCTCTCCTGACCTACAGAGTTACTCCAATGCACCACGGCTAGTTTCTCTCCCGCACAACTAAGCATAAGCCAGAAAATACGAACTAGGGTCCCGTACCGCCCTGATGAGCTGAAGCCAAAGACTCTTGACTATGATCATATCAGAAGAAAAGAGAGGGAGTACTAAGCAAATATGAATTTCGATTACGACAAGAAACAGACTTTTGAAAAATGAAAAAATCCCAACTGCAGTTCATATATTCCTTTTCCATTGGAGTCAACTGGTGCTTGCGTCAGTTTTCACTCCATACCGAAGACTGAGAATTAACATCATTTAAGAGCATGGCGAAAAAAAATCGCGGGGCGATCTACAGAGGTGCAAGCTTTGGTTCACCATTTTGCTTAGGAGGGGAAATATGCAAAAGTAACATCAACTCGCACACGGACTTTGGAGTCAAGAGCGCTTACACCATTTCAAGTGGAGTAAACGACCGCTACACAGATCTGGCAGGGACTGTTTACTTCTCGCCCGACGAGGTGGAGATGTTTTCAGAGATCTTGTTTGACGCGTACTTTCAAGATATGATGACTGTTAGCTAGCATGTTAGGTGTAATCGTTCCCCTGTCAGTCAGCATACATGCAAACGAACTTCGTTTGGAGAGGTCGCGCTCTTATCGAGTTATAGGTTGAATTGCATGTAGAGGTTTATTTCTTTTTCATGATCTGTTTGCTATTTTAAGGATAACCAAAGTCAGTAAAGATAGTGAATATAGCATATCAGTCTTTTGTTATCACCTTCGGCTATTTTCATTACTCAATCATCACCCTCAATTTATCGACGGTGACGAACATTAAAAAAGAAACTTGCAAATCACTTGTCAGGGGCGTAGCCAAGATTTTTCAAAGGCGGGGGTAACACTGTGTCAAAATGAGGGTACTCACCATTTTGTCATGCCATTTTTGTCACCTGTGGTAGGTTGCTTACTTAAAAAAGGCTTACAAAAGGGGGGTCACGGGCATCTCAGGACCCCCTCCCCTGGCTACGCCACTGCTTGTTCACTCTAGTACACGAGGCCTGGTATTCGGCGAAGTACTGTTGATCGCAGAAAACCTAGACCAAATAATGCTTTTTTCAGCGTTTGTTGCGAACGTGCTCATCAAGAGACGAGAAATATTGTTATTTTGGTCTTAAGAATGAGGTGGAGTGGGACAGGAGCCAAGTTTAGGGAGTAAAGTGACTCAATCAAGTACGACTTGACAAGTCTAGAAATTTGTTGTTTATAATATCGAGTTCAAGGATTGACTTCAGTCACATGAGAGAAAGAGACCAATATTTACTATTGACTCTTGGGTTGTTTACCATTTACCCAAAAATTCCGGAAATTTTGGTAGGAATGTGGATGGGAAGACAACTTTGGCTGGACCGACGGGAAAATTTCCGAACTGATAAATGGGAAAATTTTGAAAGGTAGTCCAAACTTTCCAACCGAAATATCTGAGTGGAAAATGTGCATACCATTTGCAATTCTTCACCGCAATCTTGGATCATGGAATTATCAGCAGGTCGAACTCGTCCTAGGCTCTCTCAGTCAATTTCGGGTTGTTGAGTAAATGGTAAATGACAATCCGAACGGAACTTACAATCAAGGATTTTTACTTACCATTTGGAGAAACCGTTGACGAACTGGTTTCCCCGTGTAAATGGTAGACAACCCTGGACTCCACAAAAAAAAATACATAAATAAAAAAGTCCATTTTCGTGATAAGCCGTCGTTCGAAATGTTAAGTGAGAACAATCACGAGAGTCCAACATCCCACGATTGCTGTTGATCATGAGGTTCAACGATATCAGTAACAGACAGCGAGACTGAGATGTACGGTTTTTATGGAAGTGCTTGAGACAAGAAGCACTCGACATGCAAGTTTCAAATACCGATCTGAATCAAAGAGAGTTCTGTGAAAATTACCACGCCATCATGGCGTGATCACTTGCTCCACAACTTCGAGATGTTTGTTTGTTTTTTTTTTTTCCACAGCTTTTGAGAGTTCTCCCAAACTATCATTAGTTAATGTTTCTATTCAACAATTAAGTTATGCGCTCGAGATTTCTGTTTGAACAATAGAGTGTTTCTGTCGAGGAACTGTATCGGCCGATAGTTGCCCCGCGAAATTTGATGTTCTTAAAAACAAATATTTGGCCAAGAAGCGAAGCTTCGAGGGCAAATATGCTAAGCGGGCAAATTTCCAAGAAGCAACTATAAGATCGATATATAGTTCCGAGACATAAACACTCCATTGTTTTCATTGTTCACCACTAAATTTTCTTCCGCACACCAGTTTAAAAATCATACTGAATTATTTCTAACTTTTTTGACTCTTTTTTTGGATGAAAACCGTAAAAGCCAAATGTAAGATTTGAAAAAGAAAACAGCTAAAAACCCACTTAATGCACTTTCAATTGTTTACTTTCTAAAAGGCAGCTTGTTTACAGAAAATTTTCGCGGACGAGTACTAGCCATCCGGGTGATAGTGTCTCTCCACGGATGAACACTATCGCATCACGTGATCAATTCAAACAAAAGATAATCTCTTGATTTAAACCAATAAGAATAGGAGAAAATTTAGTGGTGAGCTATCACGCATAGAAATCTCGAGCTCATAATCTAATTGTTTTAGTAAAAATATACTACACGTTCAAAAATTTATCTAAATCCTCTTCACAGACACTTCGAAAATGCAAAGAAGCCGCCAGTTTCTTAACACGCGCACCTTTGCTCACTATCTGCAACAGAATAGCTAGTGAGTAGAGTAGCCAATCAGAGAACTATATTCGTGATAGAACACTAGTAGATTTATACTAAAACTTGATACAAAGGGCACAGATCGGAGAGCATGTTTTCTACTTATTTTTAGAAGAGACTGCGAGAGAAAGAAAGGTATATTTCCCAGTATTTAATATCCGTTTCACAACATTTTACAGCCTACAGAGACTTCAACTCTAGGAATAAGTACTGAAGTGAAAGAATGGCGCCACTGTCAAGAGATGGAAACGAGACGAGCGGGATCTGAATGACTGGAAACGAGGCGGTGCTCACTTGACACGATTAATTCTAGTTCTCGTTTTCCAATTCCTCCCTCAGTTGATTTCTTTTGGCAATTAACTTTTCACTAACCACTTCATTGCTTTCCACATTACAAAAGCAATTCTCAGCTCTTCAAGAAGTTCATATCTTTCATGCATGATTCAAGAGAGTGGCCATTTTTAAAAATGTTCTTTTGCTCGCGTTTTACATAAACCCGCCAAGAACCCGGAAAGAAAAATACGGAGTTCTTTTTGTCGTACATACTACTCCAGGTAGGGTCATCGGGATCTAAACATCTTTTCTAAAACGTCTCAAAAATACTTCCATGATAGAACATAATTGTCCTCCATAGATAAAATACACATTTCCATTTACTCACTATGTATATACTACAAAAACTCAACTTTCACTGTAAGAGTTGGTGCTTTGCATTTATAGCAGAACTAGTCTTAGGGATGCAGTCAGGACAAAAAGCACCATGCTCAAGGAAATCTTGGCTGACGTGGAATACATCGCTAGTACACCGCTAGAGGTGGGGTGAGTTGAACTTTGACGCGTTGTTGGAATCATTGTGTTGCATCGATCTTGGGTACAGCAGGCGATGTTGCAGCTTACTAGCTTATAGCTCATTACTTTTAGCAGCAGATCCAGTTTCTCGCACGCCTTCTTTTTATCTAAATGGAATGAAAGCAACGTTATTACTGACGCAAAGTCACTTATGCCATAAAAAGGATGGGGCCTTTTAGGGGTCAAAAAGCGGTTTTGCTACCTCACAGGGTGTCCAGTCTCAAAAGGTCCACAGTGGGACCTTTTGCGGTACTTTTTAGGGTATTGAACCGAAAAAAGAATATGACAGGAGATAATGTGTTGTTTTACAATTGGTACCTCTTAGGGGTGAAAACAATTTCAAGCCACACCCACAAAGCAGGATCTCGGTACCTCCTTGGGGATATTTTCTAAATTTACGACGAGCACCCTCGTCCTTTTAATTTTTATTTGTGAGTCCCCCCGGGCAATTATGCATAAAATATACCAACGCTAGTCAAAATGTAATCCTTAGCAAATTCGTTTTGCCACTGGGGTATGATTTGGAGGGGGTAGGAGCCCCCACTAAATTTAGCTCAGCCCTTAACTTGCTTTACATTATATCACGTCGATCACGTGATGTCATACCGTCTGCCATCTTAGATCCGCCACCATCATAGATTTTAGAAAATCAATATCTCTCAACCAGATTGAGATACTAGAAATGTAGGGAGAATTGTACACAGATATACAGTAAAATTCCAAGTGTAAGAACTTACATTGGTTGAAGTCTGGCGAAATATGTTCTTGTATTTTGGGGTAGTTATTAGCAATTTAGGCTAAGTAGGTTCTTATTAGGTTCTTAATTTCCGTGAAGGTGATATAGTTGTCGGTTATCAGAAAAATAAATAAACTTGGGTTTGGTCCTTAAATTGATATACAGTATTTATTCACAACTGTATTATGGTAAGCCTAACACAACTGATTACAAAAGTAAACGTATATGTGGTGTTGCCTCTCTAACAAGAGTTCGTAATTTAACAGTACTGTAACCCGCACATGAGAACCTGCTTGATCTTGCCGGCTTGGCTAAACAGGTTCTTATATTTTTGAGTTTTAAAATTTCTGCCAGCAGGTTCTTAAACCCCAAGGTTCTTTCACGCGATGTTTTCAAACAAATTGACAAAAAGGTCGTTCTTCTCACCTGAGCAATCAATACATCCCCTGGCCACAACATCGAGGATTGCCGTACCATTGTCATATTTCCCACTTGCTGAGTAACAGTGTGTGTTGCCTAGTAACGCATTGCATTTTTTCCTGGTTTGACTGCGCTGGCAATCACTCCAGCTGCCTCCAGCCTCAATACAATTGTAACATTTGGTGACTGCAGCTAAAATAAACAGGAAGTAGTTATTACTCAAGAGCGAGAAGCTGTTAGACCATGGTTGTTTACCATTTACCCAAAAATTCCAGAAATTTCGGTTAGAATGTAAATGCCAACTTAAAGATAACTCTTGGCTCGACCGACCCGAAAATTTCCGCTGAATACATGTAGATTCTGTAAACGGAACGTATAGATAGGTAGTCCAAAATTTTCCACCGAAATATCCGAATGGAAATGTCTTTACCATTTGTAATTCTTCACCGCCATCTTGGAATTATCACCAGGTCGAACTCGTCCTAGGTTTTCTCAGGAAATTGCGGGTTGTTGAGTAAATGGTAAATGGACAATCTGAACGGAACTTGCCATCAAGTATTTTTGCTTATCATTTGCATAAGCCGTTGACCAATCGGTTTCTCCGTGTAGATGGTATGGTAAACAAGTCATATTTCTCTTACACCATACTTTTTTGTGCAATTTACTTCGCAAATTTATGGTAACCGGTTCAAGTTTAAGCTTTCTTGCACCACAGGTAATAGAGGGGAATGGTTATGAAACCCGACAAAGTTCTTTGCTGCACGTTTTTGTTCTCTTTTTTGGCCTTGACCGTGCACAAAACACAATAATTAGTTTACTCCGTACTGAGGAATTAACCAATAGCAACGTGTTAGTTACGTAATTCATGCATAGTGTATGAGCGCAAAACAAAAGATTGTGCGCGATCGTGGATCTTCCAACGTAAATCTTGGCATCTTTGTTTGCTCCTTTGATGTTTGCCGGGCTTCATAACCAGTCCCCTCTATTGACTATGCTTGCACGAACATGAAAATAAGCTAAAATATGATAGGTAATTAATTTGCTTCTTTGTTGAACAAACTAACCAACCGTGGCACTGTTTTAAAATACATCAATTATAAAAACACCCGATGTTACGCCAAGGAAAGCGCTTTTTAAATATACACGCTCATTCCAATTGATTCCTTGATTATATGGGCTAATTTTCTTGGAGGACTGGCGTTAACCAATCAACCGAAAGACACTACAACGGTGGAGCTCCCGAAACAAAATCCGGAGAGCTTCTCTCTTTTGCCGTCCCCACACATGAATTGGGCCATTCCATTTAATATCCGCACCCCTGCCCCCCTATCGAGAAGCTTTAAATTTTACCCCCTCGGAAAAGTTAACTTTTTATCCCCCCCACCAAGAAAGTAAGATTAAAGTGCCGACACACTTCCCCCTTCAGGATTTGTANGAGGAACTTTGAATTTTACCCCCCTCAGAAAAGTAAACTTCTCCCCCACCCCATGAAAGTAAGATCAAAGCCCCCCCCCCCAACTTATTGAGGAGCTTTGAATCTTATTCCCTTAGAAAAGTTAACTGTTTACCCTTTTAAGACTTCCTACCCCTCCCCCTCAGATTTCCTAGTACCTCAAGGGGGTGCAGATAAAACTGCAATGACCCATTCCAGCTACTCAGTTTAGACCTCGAAGACGTGACTGGTAATTAGAGATATGAGCTATCGTTTACATCTTGGCATTTTTACGGTTTATAGTCTATTTTCCTTACGGTTAACAGAAATCTTAGAAGCTAATTACCATTGTTTAATTAAACAATTAAAAAGTAATTTTCATTGTTTAAAAAAGTTACAAAGTTTTGACCATTGTCAAGCATATTCAAGGCATTAGGACCATTCCGTGATAGAAACTGAGGTGTTATCATAAGAATTGTAGACTAATATAGTAATCCGTACAACCCTGCCACAATACGAGACACAAAACAGTCAGGCCAAGAGATCGTGAGACTTTCACTGTCGTGGCTACTTTTTTTTTCTATTTTATTTTTTTTACGGTTATCCTTTTTTTTTTTTTACGGCTAGCGGTTAAATTTTTCCAATTGTTACGCCTAACGGGTAAATTTTTAGCCCGATTTTAGGCTAACGGTTAATCCCATTGTGACCCTCTTGAAGCTCAAGGTGTTTCAGCGTGATATCATAGAAGGAAACAGCACAAACCCGTGTATTCTTGTTTTGTCCTCCTTCTTGCTGCCGAAAAGCCGCGAACTTCAATGAAACAAAGTCAAACTAATACCCATAGTACCAGTCGACATTGTCGCTTACGGTTTACGCTTTCGTGGAAAAAAGACTTCGTCGAAAGAGCTGCTATCTTTCAATTGGTATTACATAAGTTATCATGAATCCACATGCGAAATCAGAAGAATCAGCCAAGATCTTCAAGGGCTTTTTAAAACATCGCGGTTTTCTTTTGTAATCAGTCCGTGTTAATCTTGTCCATCTTTATATCTAACCATCCTTGTTTCTTTATGGCTTATGTTATCTCTTTGGTGTTTTTCTATCTTGGTAAACTTCTATTTTTAGGTCTCCTTCAATTTAGAAGTAATTTTATACGCGGCAAAAATACCGTGACAGGGCTCCTTTAAATGTAAAGTGTTTCAACTATGTGGCAAAAACGTCGCACAAGCCGGCTGATACTCTGTGGTTTTTCTCTGATTAATTTAATTAAAAGGTAATTAATTGCAATACAAACGAAAAAGGTTAAGTCTCCTTCGCACCTGGTTAACTTTAATTATTTGCCGCATCGTTGACCGTTCGGTTATTTGAAGAGTTATTCGAAGAGTTATTAAACTGGGAACAAGTTGGCCTTAACGTGAAAAGTGAACTCTTATGAGGTGTTAACCAGTTGAGTTGCAACTCTTCTGGTCTTTGTCACGAAACGTCGATAAGAAACAACGAGGGAGGAGGGTTGAATTGTAGCCGCGAAATACGGACTTTTATACAACTCACTCCATTGGCATCCTGCGGTTACGGAGCGAGAGAAGCAACATGGCGGCCGGTTTTGTTCTTTTTGCCCTTAGTCAATGAGCCTTGTGGAAATGATTTTTCTTTTTTCACACAAATTTTGGAACAAATCAAAGCATAATTTTGGTTTCTTGCCTTACATTGCTTTGAGCTACCGATACCCTGGTGCCTGGAGAGGTCACGGGTTTGGTCTGCTTAAATTAGATTAGACAAACCACACGTGTGAGAGGAAAGCATTGTCTCTTCCTATTTCCCTTTTCCCCTTCGTGTCTCCTATCTCCTTTTCCTCTTAAGCGCAAGCCGATTTATTTGTGCCTGGTTTTCATCAAAATCTCTTCCTATCAAAGGATATTAAATACAGCTTATCCGTCCGTAGTTTTTTAATGAATATTTGTTTTCGGGATTACTTCTCGCTGAAATGACTGCTTCGGGCCGGAGCTCAAGCTGGTCTATAGGCGAGCGGCAACGTTTTGCCGTCGCCTAACGGAAGTGTGAAAGATAATAACTTCTAATACCATAAAATATTTGCTTTCTTTAAAATCTATTTGCCGAAAAATGTCGTCAGAGAAGAGAAAAACAATAGTTCCGAGTTCCGCTAGTGATACAAGCTTCAGACTGAAAGCAGTTTTAGGAGTTAACGAGAAACGCTGGAGTTAAGTTTGTTATAAGTCGTTTCACCGCAAGAAAATTGGAATAAATAAGTGAAAGGGAGATTTTTCTAGCCAGGGAAGAGCAAGCAAGAGGGAAAGAAAGAGAAGAAGTGCTTTGTCCATCAGATACGCCAGCTGCGATTTATTGCCTTACGTATGTCACAGTTGTCGGTACTCTTTAGATGTACTTTGAGGTAACGTTTAAGTATTGGTTGTCAAAAAGCTTTTAGCAATCAGCACAGCGCATCAATTAAATCAAATGTGTGTTTCTAATGTTTTGAAGGTTAAGCTAAGATCTTGGCGCTAATTGAACTGATAACAAAGGATTCATTTCCACAGACGACTGTTTGTATGCAACAAAAGTTATTTCAAAAAGGAATGTTTATCTTGGTTGCCCTTCATAGCAAATGCAAGTGCAGCCATAGAAATTGTCTTCTTACAACACCAGCCACGATTTCTGATAAATTTCTGTTTTCTGAAGACGATAAACGAAGGTGAAGGTGAAATCCAATAAGTCCGAAAAAATTCGATTATTGCGATGGTGATTGCATTCTGGGAGGCTAAAACGCAAATTGAACACTCGACATTTACTTCGCGTTCAAGACCACAACATTAAGCGATGAAAATTGTTTCCGAAAGTTGGGTTTTGTTTATACAGTTGAGTTGAGTCTTAAGAAATAGAGCAGCATCGCTTACCTGACAAAATGGAGGCGTTCAAAACTAAGGAAGCCACGAGAAATGCAGACCTCATTTTGAAACGTACATTGGCTCACTATATCCTGTTTATCTCGCCGTTTCATCACTTATTATACCTCGCGTGACTTAACATGCCAGTGGTTCCGACGTACTTGAAAACCAAATCGCTCACCGACTGTCGCGTTTTTCTCCGATTTTAGATAACGCAAGTGTCAATAGCGCCAAGATTATAGGTCAATGGTCGCCAGATTGGCCACTCGGGCCTAGAGTAAAGGATTTGTTTAAGTGTGCCTTGCCTCTCGGCGATTGAAGGGTCGATTTCATGATCAGGATCATTATCCGATTAAAGGATCATTTGCATGGGACTGGCGGCAATGCTATATTCTTTGTCGAGGAAAGATCAGCTTAGAGCAAAATTAGGCATGAGCTGAGGGTTTTCTCGTTTTTCTTTTTTGTTTTGTTTTTGTTGTTGTTATGCTTTTTTTTTGGCGAAGAAACGCTAGGAAAGAAAGAAGATATCAGGACAAATCAAAAGAATGAAAAACAAAACAAATGAAAATAACAAAGAAATAAAATACTTTGGGAAGTCTGGTTAATTTTAATGTCAATATGATAAACAAAACTTAATTTGGAAAGAAAAAAAGGAGTTATAGTGAAAATAATAATAATAATAATAATAATAATAATAATAATAATAATAATAATAATAATAATTATATAACGGTTCCAACACACCTGACAAAAATAAGCAAAGACCGGGTCATTGTTTGACGTTAATCACCTTAAAAAAAAAAAAGATTTCCTGAACTCCAGATGAAGGCTACTTTTGGCTTACCGAATTGAATCATATCTGACATTGAAAACGAAAATATTTCAGCTGTTTGATGAACAGCCTTGTTGTGTTAAAATTTGATTAAGAAACAAGTGATGACTCCTAAAATCGAGAAGCTAAACATAGTTCTGAATTACTGTGGATTTTGAAAGTTCGACCACATGTTAGTCCCTTATCCAGGATGTCACAGCTTGTTTCCTGTCGGCACTGTCGATCGTCTTGTTTTTCTGTTCCTGTTTTTCTGTTCTTGTTCAGAGACAGTGCAACTCTCTCTTATTAAAGCAGTATTTTAATCTACCTATAGAGCTGGTCTTGCGTTAAAATTCTCATTTTGACTCTCGGACGTACAACGGAGTGGACGGGGGGTTGATGCCACCTCCCCCTAAGGTTTTTTCAAAGTTTTGAAGAGACGATTTACTCTACGGGGCTGAAAATTTCAGTAGCTGTTCCTTTATCCTCTGCAGAAATTTTGATATGTCATTTTGCGTAACCATCATATTTGACGTTGCTATGGCAACCATCAAATTTCATGTAGGGCTAGCCAAATATCAACTTTTTAAAGATAATCCTGTAGTTTTTGTCCAGTTTTCTTCATCAAATTGCAAAAACTCATGAATTTGTACAGTTTAAAAGCATTGTGGCTTGATTTTGTGTTAATTTTCGTTATTTCTTGACTTTTTAAGAAAATAGGAAAATCCAAGATGGCGGATCCAAGATGGCGTCATTTGACGTCATATGACGTCATAACCAACAAAAATAGTAGTTGTAGAGAAAGCTCAGGGCTATCTAATCAATTTAAATTTATTTCGCTCTGCCTTAACACAACGAAAACCAAGAGGGGCTTCCATCCCCCCCCCCCCTTTCTCTTGTACCACGGTGGGGGTATGAGTTAGCTTGTACGTCCGAGGGTTAATTTAACCGTAAATGTAAACGTCATCTTCTAGCCTGGCTTCTTTAACACCCGACTTTCACAAGGTATGCATAAATAATATATTTGCAGTCCGGGATCAAATATAAGAAATATAATATTGCTAGCTACGATGATAACTGTTATCTTTTTAAAAAAATAGCCAAAAATTTTAAAAAACGCCAATTCAGTTCAATTTTTCTCTGAAATTTCGCAAGCACATTACACCACAGCTCTATACGTTGTTCATAGAACTTGATACATAAGCGAGTAACATTTCGCTCGCATCTCATCCATAGTTGTGTGGTAATCAATCAAATCACATCTGAGTAGCTTCCATTTCTTTGTTGTCTCTAACTCATCCATTTTCTCACGGTAGCCAAACTTCGTCGTTTCCTTGTAAATATCTTGTCTGACGGTTTCTTGGTAGACATCTTTGCGAAGAGTAAAGCCAATGATACCCCCTGAAATAAAGTACGGTAAAAAGGTTAAGTCAGCAACAGTGGCCAATAATGTCGTATAATTTATCCTGGTTTCTGTCGCATGAAGCGACTAGAAGCATTTCTGCACCCCCTGGATGGAATGCTAGTCCATCGCAATATTCTAGTTCCAGCAGTCTGGGTTCGAGTAATCTTGTTCCCAGACAGAGCTCTGCGAACGAGATTGGGGTTCGTACGTTCTACGGAGCCATGTTAATGCCATACAGGCGCGTGTACAGCATCACATTGGGGATGCATCCCTTTTTTCCTTTTGGCGAACACTTTCTTACCTTTGAGGCGACTTTTTTCTCTGGCGTGACTTATTTTTGCTGGCGCGATTTTTTTTATGGCGCAGGTAAAAGTAAATTTAAGGTAAAATAAGTTTATCAACTAACAATATCAAATGGACCTGACAACATACATAATTATACGAATATCAACTGGTAAGAGCTTGACCAGTTATTTGAATTACATGGTTTGGCCAATGAGTAGATCTCGTTACCAGTCCTTTCTCGAACTTGAACTCGTTACTGCTCCTAGTCTGTTCACAGACCTCTTTTCTCTGCGAGGTTCGACGGCGCAAGCGAAGTAAAAACAGCGGGGATTGTGAACACAAGGAGAATCCCTGTTGCTCATTTTCGCTCGCTCTCTCGCTGATGACTAAGAACTGATTGTTTCCTACTATGACCTGCTGTCAGTGAACACAGGATAACAAAACCAGCGTTTTTATCACTTGGCCTAGCACGAACATTCGCACTACCCTCGGCTCGTCTTCGCATTTTTAATGCCTATAGTTTGGAATACCGTAAATCCTCGAATGAGCCCCCACCCCTCCCCCCTCAAATAAGCGCCCCCTTCAAATGAGTGCCCCTCCTATCAGCCACAATTTGAAATAAGCTCCCCCCCTCGAAAAAGCGTTCCCTCCCCTCCCCCGATCTTGTGGACGAGTAAGGAGACAACCAAGGGTGCATAGTTTTCGTTGTGTAGTATTAGATTCGTACATTTCTTCAGTTTGTGAACACGTTTTTTATGTCGATAAACAGCTTATGTTGCTGTTTATGCGCAGATGATGTATTAAAAAATGATCATGTCAGGTCAGGATTTGGGAAAAATTTAATAAGCCCCCCC